AGGCTGCACCCTTTGGATCCTAGGTTTGACATCCCCAGATCCTCTGCCGTGTTAAGTCATCCGCACTCCTCCAAAGCCAAGGTTCAAAGCAATGTAATGGTGTTGGTTTACACCAGGATTTGGCCCGCGCACTTTCCTGTCATGTCGTCTGAAAATTAAGAGGATTTTGGTTGTACCTTATAATTGATTGTGCCTATTAATTACTGCATGTATGCATTTGACTTCTTAATTAACCCATCCTAGGGCACTGCAAGGATCTGGACCAACAGCCTCAACTTGATTTGGAGCAGCAGTTGTGATCCCGAGAAAATGTCCTCTCAAACCCTTGTTCCTCTTCCAATAAAGGATAACACAGCTACCAACCTTGCCTCACAGGTATCCCCAGATCACCAGGACTACAGCAGCCCTCCCACCACCACGAATTCATGATATGGTGAGGGCCATGAGCCTCAGTTATGTCTTGTGATCCATTTTGGACCACAGTGGGGAAATCTGCAGCTCAGGGAAGGTAAGTGATGGAGTGGTTTTGGTATCCCAAGGTGTGTGAATATGACTTTCTGGGAAGGATATTTTGGGTCTCGCTGGTTTTGGTGGTCCATCTCCATGCTGGTTAGCTCTGAGCTAAAGGCCACCAGTGAGAGTATCATGATGGTTCATGTGACTCCTGCCATTTTGCACTATGGGCGAAGACAGGTCCATTCCTTTCCCTTCTGATCCGGACCCTAAATAATAGCATCGTCTCAGCTATTTCAGATTTCTCCTTCCCCTGAAACTTGTGGCTTATCTTGCACCAAAATACCATCTGGGGACAGTACCTTCCAGCCCATCTCTGTTCCATCACCCCATCATGGAAAAGCCATTTCAGGATGGTGATTTCATTATACATCATTGATGGGGGATAAATTATTAAAGCAGATTCATAAAAAATGAAAGACATTTTACACAGAGAAGGAGTCTTGACAGTAACCTAGATATGTCACAAAAACTGATTGCCACCACATAGGAAAACCTGCCCCTCTCCAGAGCAAAGGGGTAAGTTATGAAAGATGCATGAGGGTAGAAGAAGACATGAAGTGACTGGAATGACAGAGTGGGAGATAAACACATCAAGGTAAAGGAAACAAAAGAGAAAAGACAATGGAGGAAAGGGGGAGTCAATAGAGGTTAAATAATTCAGGTCAGGATTTTTAAGAGCCTTAAAGAAACAAGGGAGCGTAAGTCATCTAGGAATCATTGGGGGGAGGAGGGAAACAACCAAACCAATGTGCTATTCACAGCATTAAAAAGAGCTGTTGGATTTTCTGTGCCTTTTGGACAGACCTTGGCTGGTGTAAATCAGCAAGGAGTCAATTCAGTTGGGGGTATTTACACCCTTCTAAGGAAGTGGCCCGTAAATCAGAAGGGCAAATCCAACACGTGCAATTCCAGCAGCTTTGGCCACTTCACACCATGGATGCTGTTGCCCTCAAATCCTAATTGAATCCCTCCTCGGTTCTGCCCTGGTCCTCGATGGATCTGTCTGGGAGCCCTCCCCAGCCACCAAGCTCCTTCAGTCACTGCCTCGTTTAATGGCAATAACCCATCAGATAAGGAGTTTTGCAGCATTAATCCATGTTCATGCTGCCAGTGCTGCTGGTGGGCAAAGCATCTGCTGTGAACTTTACACGTTTCCTCAGCCCTGGGCAATGCTTCTCCCTGAAAATCAGCAAAAGTCCTCAAACCTGTGAAGCCCGGGACCTACAAAGGGTGAAATCCAGTCTGAAACACCCTCCTGAACACTTTCCTCTTCTTTTCCAGTACTGCTGTTCCTCTTCTTTAGGGGATACATCCTCCCTGGACCAGTTTTATTATCCAGATCCTGGAGGGGGGAACAGAAAACTTTGCCTCCTGCCTCTACCTCCCTCCATTGCATTTAATTTCTGATCTGGAAAAACTCCTTTTCTTTCCTTGCTCTAATTTCTGGTCTCCTGTGTTGCTCCGATTTTAGCCTTGGCTTTGCTTGCTTGGGGGATTCCCTTCTCAGCCTTACAGATTTGCCCCACTGCTGATGCAAAGCACAGCCGAAGCTGTAAGGCTGTACCAAGTACACGGCAGATAAAAGCAGTCATGCAAAATTCAGCTGCGTTGAATTAGTCTTGCTGGTGGGAGGATAATTCCTATTAACCACATCTATTACAGTAATACCTCAGGATAAGCGAAAGACAGGCAAAGCAGTGAATAGCACAAAATGAGGGAAACTCCCAGCCCTGAATACTATGTAATCTGAAAAGAGAAGCATGGTAGGAAATATATAATACATTGGGTGGGCAATAAAACAGTTGGTAACTCAATTATTTTTGAGAGTGCGTGGAACCTGCGTGGGGCATATTATGTAGAGGAAGAAAGGCTAAATGGAAAGAGAAGTGGAAGGAAGCAAGAGTCTGAAGATAGCAGTTGACACCAGGAGGAAGGGGAGGGAAATATTAGCAATGGAGAATAGAATCTGTCAGGATATAGAAATTATTACCATTTCTTAACAAACAGTAAATATTCCAGCTTGTGGCAAAGTGAGTATTTTGGGATGAGAAGGGGGAGATGCCGAGTTAAATCAGACCATTGCATTTCTATATGAGATGAAATTTGAATTTTTTTTTTTTTGGTAGGTCTGAAATATCGTACCCAGTCTGGTGGAAAAATATGTGGTTATTTATGAGCTGCATAAACATTTTCTAAAGTGGGTATCTTCTGCCTTGATTTGGGTCAGCGTTTAAATCGACTCCGCCATTTCAAAACCTACCTCTGTGAAATTTCACCTTCCTACTTTGGACCCATTTCCCCGCAGTTTCCACAGGTGAAATGAAAGTCGGTGGCCACTTGTTCCTGCTCTCACCTTGTGCTGAGCTGCTTCAGGGAGCTGAAGAGGCAGAAAAAAATGTCTGTATTTTGGTGAATGTTAGGGTTGGCTTTTCTGCTCCTCCAAGCCAGCTCCCTGAAGATCAGATACTGATGGGAGAACAAGGGTTTTTTCTCATGTTTTCCACCATGGATGTCTGAGTTACTACAAATAATTGTGTATAGATAAGATCCTTGGCTGAGTGGATCTATGCTGCCTTTTTTCCTTGGGTGCATCTGATTCAGAGACAAGTGATGGGCCCCGAGACATGAGAGAGCAACAGCCAGGGGCCTGCCAGGTCCTGCTTCCCCGGGACTCCAGCAGCTCCAGGGATCTGGAGCAAAACCTCCTGCAGGCCACCGATGTCTGGCGCTGGAGCTGTGGACTGGGTTCCTCTCTAAAAATTGTGCAATTGTGGTAATTATACACAAAAAAAGTTAATTACTTAATCATGTGTAACAAGGACCCTTCAGCTACCGAGCGAGGCACACGCTCAGCGCAATTATTCACAGGCATGTAATCTACTTCCTTTTGTATTGAATATTTCATTAGTTACTATTCACATCTTCTCAGAGGTGCTTTGCAATGGTTCAGTGATTGGATTTACTCTAATTTCTTCTTGGCTTGTACAAACGCTGTCGCTACAAATATTCCTCTGTATTTTATCCCTGTAACAAGGATGTTCTTTCCAACCTTTCTGTTGCCAAAGAGAACTCACCACAATGTGAGCATCAGGAGCTTGAGGCAATTTTAGGTTCCTGCTTTGCCTTCAAGGTCCTTTGGGTGGATCCCCATGTTTCTGTCCCGTGCCTGTACCGCTTTTGGCACCCTTGGGATTTTGGCCATCACAGGGTGCCTTAGCAGCGGTACAATATGAATAACAAATAGCAGTAGTAACCAAGGGTCTCAGCAAGTGAAGGGGATTGGCTCTTCTAAAACATTCACTCATTTTAAAGTTGGTCCAGCCATTGCTGGAATCACTCTTAATTTACTCCTGCACAGAACAGGGGTCTGCATAGGAGGAGTACTTATATAGGAGGAGGTGTATCATGGACTTGCATTTGCACTTTGAAATACTTGAATGACTTCTCCAAGCCCAAAGCAGTTTCCTTCTGAACCAGACCCAGCAAACCAGACCCTCTGGTTTTGGAGGCCTTTGGAGCTTCACGGAAGCTGCCCAGCTCTCCCCACCTCTGATGAAGTAGCTGCCTTGTATAATTAATTTGGGAGGGAAGAGCAGCCTTCTCTTAAAGTTAGCGCTTGCGGAAAGTAAAGCAAATCCCAGCTCTAAGTGTTACAACAATTCAGCCTAAACCTAGAAGTATTTATAGGAGTGTGCTGGGCCAGTGCCTTGCTGGAACTGCAGTCTGGGTAATTCATGCCCTTGGCCATCCACAGGGGACAGGCTGTAGGGCTGGCCTACATCTCCCATCATGTGCTGCATATGACATACGGACATAGGGAGCCTCACTCAGAAAAGATGGGCATACAGAACAACCAGACCTGCTAATCCCATGAACCAGCTGCATTCCTCCTACAACATTTCCAGTTCGTGCTCTACAATTTTGCAATGAAACTTTTTTTTGAAAAGTGCTGAGAAGTAATACTCATTTGCCAGCATGGTCTTGTCCAGCATTTACCCTAAATGGCAAATTGAACAAGTTGCATGTTAACAGCCTCAGAAGAAGGTCTGAGATGTTCTTGGCTACAACGCAATGACAAGAGGATCTGCCAGATGTTGCACAAGGTGTGCTTCACCTGGCGACATCCAAATGTGAGTTCCTGACAGCGGTTAAGAATTTATAGTGCATTGAATCTTCCAAGGATTTTTGAAAAGAGCTGCTGATCCTATCAGCTAGGCTTCTGGGATAATCTCTGAAATCCAGTGTGGTGCTTCCATGAGTTATGGGTGTGAATCTGATCTCTCCGTTGCCCGTGTAAACTAGAGAGACCACTGAAACCAGTGCCGTTTCACAGCTATGAATAAAGGGAGAATTGGACCCATTTTCTTTCTCTGACTTTACTGAATATAAATCAAGGCACAGACATGCTAACTGCATTACACAGATCCTGGTGACAGTAACTTCTCAGTGCTTGAGAGACAAGAGAAATTGTCGTTCAACTCTGATCATCAGCTTTATTGTATGCCAGCCAGACGATACACATTTCATGCAGACTATATGTTTGCTCCAATCGCCGCTCAGAAGAAAGTGCTCGACTTCATGTGCGTTGGTCCTGCACTAAGGTACTTGGTTCTTGGTCTGTAGCACCAGTGTTTTTGTCAGGGGTCCTGGAAGCAGAGAAAAAGCATCATTGCAAAGCTGTCAGAGCCATCGGCCAGAGCACGACAACAAAATGCCACCCCCAAGTTGGAATTTGCCCCATGACAAGTGGCTCTGCAGAGCGCTCCCCAAGCAGCCCGCACATGTTTGGTATGTCCTCAGGCTGGTTGGTGAGCCTGGTCCTGGTCCAAAACCCATGGATGTCCACAGCATTGGGAGGGCTGGAGCTCCTGACTTTTTGACCAGCCCCTGGTTCAACGGTGACCAGGATCAGGCCCACCCATCAGCTGTGAAAAATGCTTGCCAATTGATTATAACCTGCATCGAACGAGCACCTCGCTGTAAAATTGTCTCACAAAGAAGCAGTTTGTTTCCCTCAAGGCGGATGGTGAGAGCCCTATAACGCAGGGGAGCCGAGCTCTTGCGCTGCTCAGGAAGTACCCGGTGCCTGTTAAAACAACCGACAGGAAAGCAAGCCCAGCTCACGCCTGCTAACCCCCGTTTGAGAGCACCCCTCCTCCTCAATGCCCCCAGGAGACACCAGGAGGTGATGGTGGTACTGAGGCGTTGGATCCCTGGTGGGATGAGCTCTGGGGCCAGCTCTGTCCCTGGGGTAAAACAGCAGAGGTGCATCAGCCTAAGCACCAAGTTTTGATTATGCTTCCCGTGTTACGGGCAAACTATAGCTCCTGTAGAGTGGATTTGGGGTAGTCTTGGATGGGAGCATAAGAGAATAAAGCCCTGGAGTTAGGGTAGATGCTGCCAGGAGAAGCTCTGGACAGGTGCTGGAGGGAAGGTCGGGTCTTGTTGAAGTGCAGAGGGAGAGATGGGGAAGGAAAGACCTGTAGGGAACGAGGGAATCAACCCTCATTAGGAGACAGAAAAAGAAGGAGGATTTCCAGGGATGAGGAGAGATGTGTGATGGATGTGGAGGGATCTGTGAGGCTGCAGAAAGCAGATGGAGAGGCAGGAGAAACCTGCTCAGCTTTAAAATGGGCAGCTTTGCACAGTGGTTGCATTAAGGGACTGTGGAAATCCCCTTTGTCCCCCAGCCTGATGTTGGCTTTGTGTAG